CGTTTCGCCGAAATTGGCCATGCTGAGACGTCAACTTTGTTTGGGTTTGTACTTCTAGAAGAGAGTGAGGCTGTTTTCAAGTCTACTACTTTATTTAATGAATTAGCTGATTCAAAGGGCCACCTTTTCAGTTCAAATACATCCGCAAATGTGGCTTCAATTGACGGTGAATCTCAAGTGTAGAAAATTCACCAGGCGTGAAGTGCTGTCAAAGTAGCTGATTTTCTGTCAGGGATTGATTCCTGTATACCTTTTTAGGCATAAATGGACTAAATAGATCATAAAAATTCTTTTGATAGCCAAGCCAGTAACATATTATTTTGTATCTATTTAATGGGACATAAATCAGACAATCTACGGCGCTCACTTCTACAAGCCTAGTATTTCCTATAATGCAGTCAAAAACCAGAAATCACATTGAATTATTTTTTTGTGACGGGGTGAAGAAGAACAAATTGAAATCTTCGAGCAAATCAAATTGATGTTGACCTTAGAATAATCTGGTGGTAATTATACGGTGTTTACAATTTCCAGGATTTATAAAATCCTGTTCAGCGCAAATTTACAACAGCGAATCGCAATGATCCAACTCATCGGGTGCATCTTCAATGCAATTGACTTTCGTAGTCCGAAACTTGACGCAAGGCGGTTTGCTACGCGTCTAGTTGTAAATATTTTGTGCAAAGGCTCCACTGCGAAGACAGCTTTGGCACACTCTAATAAATGTGCCTCATTACGCCTAATACTTGTCCAAAGTAATAAATTTTGCCATGATCACAAATTACGCAGGTTTAGCAACCTCTATTTTTCCCTGAAAAACATGTATTCCCATTTAATTTTTCCATGGTTTTGATCAACGCTATATTTAGATTATTTTATTGTTGTTGATTACAATAGGTGAAACACTTCAGCATCTCATAAATCGGATATTGTTTGCTGTTTTGTCATAATAAGGAACAACCAGGTTAAAAAGAAATTTTAGCTATTTGTATCGTTTTTGTAATGTTAGAACACTTGAAGTTAAGCTTGTATACATTTGGGCCTAGGTCACATCTCTAAAGGCTAAAAAAGGATACGTTTGGAAGTTAACTAAGAGTCAGTCAAATGTTTTATTTATTCTAATCACTGCTTTTCTGATGCTTTCTACAGTAGTCTGGCCATTTCAAAGCGTCTTGTAGATATATCCGTCATAACGACGGATACCGAGTGCGTGCAACTCACTGAAGTAAGATGAGGGTAGCGTTCAACTTGACCTCATCAAAGGTATTTGGGCATTAAGTGAAATAGCTTACCTGTGAGAAAAAGAATACAAAATATGAACAGCAAGTAATGTAAAATTATGCAGCCTGGGTTGGTGCTGGCTTTGTTTACACGCACAGTGCAATTGTGTTGAGAACAAGGATACTTAAATGCCATAACTTTCGTGATACGTAATTTCTTGCATTGAAAATGACAATCTATTGTACTTAGAAGCTGCGATCTGCTACTATTTTTCTACACGAAAGCCAGTTCTGCTAGTTTAATCGTAGTGAAGTTAAGTTGATTTGAGTGTGGTTAGTTAATGAATTAAAATGTGTTTATTTGGAATTTAATGATTGCAGAATGGGCACAAATAGGCAAATATGAAATGAAAGGGATGTCGCTTCTAAATCCTTGATCAACTAAAGTGTCAAAAATATGCAATTTCAAATTCGGTGATGAAATGAAGAAAATTGGCTATTATTCATTGTTGTTAAGTACGCCGTTATCGATGAACTCATACACATCACAATCGTCGTAGTCAGCGTTCCCAGATTCATTTGAAGGCGACCTTTCAACATCTTGTATGTTCTCGCCAGTACACTTGCTATGTCCCCTATCCTCGATTCCCTGAGAAATGAACACACCGGAATTATCTGCAGTGTTTCTTGAACCAAAGGTACTTTCCTTTTTGATGATTGTCTCATAATCCTCCTCATTTGTTTCATGTGGTGTAGGAATGGTCACTGATTTTAGTGACGTGTAAATTTCGGAAAGTGATTCCTTGTCGGAAGAACTGTGGAACTTATGGCCATCATTGGCAGTCACGACTGGTGGGTCGCGGAGAGGAGGCTGTTGCATGGATGCTATGCAGGTTTGACTAGCGTAGAAACTGTTCGACACGGACTCGTATTCATCGAAGTATTTGTCTGGTTTCTGGACTGTCATTGCGGGACCTTCTAGCTCCTCGTAGAGATTATTTGCTCGGGAAAGATCGTTATGATAGTCAGATTTAACTACTTGCATTTCAACCGCATTTCCCCTTCGAAATAGCATCCTAAAAAGAGAAAATAGGTGGCCAATGTCATGTTTTATTGATGGCCTATTTGCATAAACTCGTAATAAACACTCCTAGGAAGATTTATCAGCCTCAAGTTGTGCGTAATGATGGAACATGACACAAATAGTCATCGACAGACCAAAGCAACTGGCAATGGTGCGAACAAGCAGGTTATTTGGTTTTACTTAAAGGGCACGTTTCCTTGTTTGTTCAAATGATATACTGGTGGTACTTTTTTAAAAGCAAACTCACCACATTTTTGAATTTGTTTCTACACAACACGACTCAAATCACATACATCTCGATGTGTGACCACCAGCATTCTAAAGAACGAGTTCTGATCTGTCAAGAAACTGCACATCTTAGTTAACATGTCTAACGCCTACCTCTTTCAGGGTGCAGACTACTGATAAGTCATAAAATATTCACACAGAAGAAAATAAAGTTGTCCCCAAGTGCCTTCACATCTGGTGATTCTTAGTAGATTTAATCGACGTTTAGAGCTTTTCTAACTGAAAAGGTGGCCCAGTTAATCAAGTAATTTGCATTTTCACAATGGCAGCCTCCCGTTTTGCTACAATGGTGACCGAGCACGTTGCAACAGACGCAGAACCCGCATGCGGTCATGGTTTGGACGTGGGACGTTATCGCGCAGGGGCAGGCTTACCACCACTAAAACACAATAATAGTTTTTGTGCCCAGTGGCATTCCCAAGATGCATGAACGTTTCGCCGAAATTGGCCATGCTGAGACGTCAACTTTGTTTGGGTTTGTACTTCTAGAAGAGAGTGAGGCTGTTTTCAATGCTGAATCAAGGAGCCACCTTTTCGTTGATCAGAATGAGTCATCTCAGTGCATACGTTTTCACAAGACTCGCCTTAATTTTGGGAGAAGGAAGATGCGAATGCAGAATGCTATTGCTATTACGAGGATACAAAGGAAAAGCACCAAACAGAGCACCACAATCGCGACGGTGGCTGATGCCTGAAATACGAAATAATTTTGTTAAAAGTGTGCAAAGCAATTATTTCCACTAAAAAACTGAATGAAATAATTAACGCTTCGGCAGATGCAAAAGAATGGTCCTAAATAGGACTTTGTAAACGACATTTCGGCTATCTTTAAACTGAATTTCAGTCAAGGTGGATAGTCGACCATTTCGTGCACTTCTAAAAATCTCGTACTTTCGATATCTCTTCTTTACTTTTTCCCAATAGTGGGTCTCTACACCTTAACACAAGTAGCCCGACGTCCTATAGATTTCCTCCACATTTGTTATGGCTGGACAACCACTGTAGACCGCGATAGTTTGATCTTGTATAACTCCAATCAATTGCTACCTCACTTGTTGCATGTACATCGGAATTAGTTCGTTAATTACAAAAGTTTATACCAATTATCGAATCTGGAAGAGAATTGTGAAGTCGCGTTACTTTACTGATCGACAAAACCTTAAATTTCGAAAACGATGCCTAGAATTCATTTTAACCGTTTTTCTTGATGGTTTTTGTCTTAATCACAGTAAACTCCTGTAGGTATTGGAAACGCTTGAGCAGACAGAGTTTACCGCCAACCAGTGAAAAAGAAGTTCCCGATATGCCAGCCTATTTCAGAAACATTAATACTACGGTATACGGAACTCCTTTCTCCTAGGCATCCATAGACAGAACACATAACCGAATGTAAATCCGTAAATTATAATGCAAAAAGGGCAAATTGAAGTTTTCCAGGCAGAGAGTGTTAACATTTTATTTTGTTCTTTTACGAACAATTTTCAGATGGTGCATTAAAAATTGCTCTACATGATAGGTGAAATTAGTTTGCAATAGGAAGCATTTTATTGTAACTTAATAAATCTACAAACGAATCAATGTATAAACCTATGGAAAGCGCCGCACAAATATAAATTTCGTTAGAATCTGTTTAAAATTTCTTATCTTGAACGATTTCAACTCTGCGTTTATTTAACCAAAAGAAGGAATTACGAAACAACTTTTAATTTGCTGACTATAATCTAACCAAACCTATAATTCACATTCGAAGGAAAAAGGATATTTTCCATAGATAAGCTTGATTATCTTTTATCAAATAAGCTGCAGCCGTCTACGAGGAATGCTTGCTGAATTTGCGAAAAGATGCCAAAAAGTAGTTGAGGTGTTACAGATCATAACTTTGTAATAAGAATCCAGGTTGCGTATTTGTCAATAGATATTAACCTTAGTCTTCCAAAACATCAAGCTCTCGAACACACACTGGCCAAAATTACTCAGCACACCCGATTCATTGAAATGGGACTATTTAACTTGATTAATGGTCTTAACGGAAAGTTCTCTTTGACGTGCGACATCCATCCCGAGTATGTCTGGTAAGGGTACCTTTGTGAAGGACGTCTCACATCTCGCTCCTTGCCACCCATCTTCACAGAGGCATGTAAATTCTCGTCCGTGCTTCCGACTGACACAGAGGCCGTTGTTTTCACAAGGGGGTCGTCCAAGAAGCAGCTCTTCCCATTCGCAGGAGTCCACTTGCTCCTCACAATGCGCACCCTTCCATCCGCGACTGCAGTTGACGCACTCGGCAAAGTTTTTGTTCACTCCTGTCCTAGCACAAGTTCCATTATTGCTGCAGCTGTAGTTTGCGCATGGGTCAAATCCACGCTCACATCGTTCGCCTTAAGGTAAAAAACAACCTAACCAACACTCTGGTCCATGCAGTCCACTTCCTCGACCTTTGTTCAAGTAAAATGCATGGAATCTCCACTTAATTGTTTTGCCATCAACATATTTTGGTGACATATTAACAAAAAGTTAATGGTAATATATAATTGTCTCGGTTTTGTTGCACAATTTAATAGTTTTCAGTCAGGAATAGGATTGACGATTCAGGGAAAAAGGCAAGCAAGATTGTATTAAGCAACACATTCTCGAGTCCTCGTCTTGACATAAGCTGCTATTCCTTTACCACTAATTTCCGGATAATAAAACCAGTCAGACTTTGAGTACTGATGGAGTGAGTATTCAATCTTTGTCATGGTACATGGCATATTCTTAAAATATAGCATTAACGCGTCGTAAGGGGTCTCAACTATGCGAATCAATGTAGATGACGCAGCCGATACGAGTCTAGCAGCCAAAATAAAATCCAATTAATAGGAACTAAGAAGTAATCGACCATAAATTAATTGTAAGCATTCAGATGAATTTACTGACACTAAGATGGCTGAATTTATAATAAACGATTATCAGGAAAGCTTCACGTAACTCACAAGTAAGAAATTTGATTAGCTGAACAAGTTATTGTGTTAAATGTAGTTTAATGGATATACAATGTGTGTACTTCTGAAGTTAGGACAGATCGTTCACTTTCCCTTAGCACCATGTCAGCAAGCAGCAGGTCCAGCATTTTATTGGACGACAGTCATTTATCTCCAAGAAAGACTTGAAATTGTGCACGTATTTCGTAGAACTGACAGAGGAATTTGCATATCGTGTCACTTAATACTCGGGCGAAGATGCTCAGTAGCCCTATCTCATTGGCAGATCGTGATGAGGTAGCAAATACTGAGAGCTCGTGATGAGCCATGTTGAAGAGCGGTGGTGGAAAGTTTACCTATCAACCAACTACACCATTTGCAATAAAATGTGTCAGGAATATGAAACTGTTTCAATCAATGGAACCGAAGATATATTTCTTGTGTATTGGTACTAACGCTTTTGCATGCAGAAAAATCCTTCTTGAAGTCGGTCAAAGGTCGTGCTGCATAGATTTAAAAATATCCTAGTTTAGGAGTTGGCATAATTTTCGGACTGGAAAAAAATTTCTTTGGCCTTAAATGGAATCAATTGAATCTCTTTTGGTGTGTGTCAGTTGAGCGGGTCGTTAAATATAATTAGGCTAATTTATAGAACCACTGACAGATTGATATCAGTGAAGTCAGCATCAGGCGTATCTACGATTCCTGTCTAAGGATGTGGTGCTTAGTCAGGAGGTTTTATTTCTCGCAGGTTTAATTTTGTCCAATCTTGCCATCAAAAATAATTGTGGTAGCAGAGTGCTAGTGACAGTTCATTCTTGACTTTAGAAGATATGGTACATATCGTGAATGTGGTGTGCATCTCAGGGGTAAAGGAAATGTTGCTTTAGTGCACATTTTGCAGGTGGTAGAAAATTTAGCAGCAAACTGGAGATGCTTTAGGTCAGAGTGGTCAGATTCGTTCATCAATTTCTCAAATATTTATTATTATTGTTATTATTAGATATCCTTGTGGTTAACAAACGACAGGCGAAATTCGTCATCAGGAGACATAACGTGACGGTCTGAGGCACGCTTGTAAAAGCACATGGTTTACCAAATTCCAAAGCGGTGACAGCGTAGTCATTATTTCTTGTAATAAATTGCAAGCGCGTTATTAAAAGTGACCATCGCGGAAAAAAATGTAGTCAAAATTCGAATAATCTAATTTTTGCGATTCAGAATGTTAAAAAATGGATAATTGAATGACAAAGGTCACCTATTAACTCTGGTCTTCATATCTGAAACCTTTGTTGTAGAAAGAAAGTGTTAACGCATCAGGACTTTAAAAAAGAAACTCCTGCACCCCGTTTCTTTCATGGAAGTTTTCGTGGTGAAGGGTACGCTGATAGAACGCGACAATTCTTTCACATGATTTGAGCCAACTGCTGTGCATTTGAGCATTTATAAAATTGTACAGTTAGTGCACATCGTATCTCAGCAAACCCAAAATTAAGGTAATTGGGGGCCTTGTTTATTCATCCCGATTAATTTTGACAAAAGAGATAGCAAAATCAGGAATATTTAATACTGGTTTAAATAAGCAAGGCGTTTGCAATTTACCAAAGAATAATAAAAGCACACTTTTTTACATCTTATGGCAAATAAACATGCATGTTACAACATGTCCCTAGTTGATTATTTAATCTCCACAGCCTGCACATATATTCTATAAAATATCATCAATCGGTTGATTGAAAATCTAGAATAATTTTACCAATCACCGAAGCAAACCATTTTAACCCTTAATTCATTCTAAACCCACGGAATAGCAACTTAAATTATCAGTACGTTCAAAATTTATTGGCGTATTTTGTTTATTTTAAATGACACTAAACAATGACATTTAAGGTCACTAAATTAGTTTTTAAATTTACGATGATTGCTTTTTGCATATGCACACAGTTAGTAACCTCTTGTTAGTAAAATTAATTGATAATATTTCATACAAGTAAGGATTTTATTCACGGGTTATTAATTATATAAAACTTGTCACCTTTACAGGCATTCGTGTAACGATTGAGTAAGTACAGATGTGCCTGTCATGGTGGAACTTTCAGCAGACATTAGCCACCCAATTCTTGACGTAATCTCTACTCACGTCTTGCACGTTGGTACAATCAATTGCCACATTGCATCTACTTGCAGACCATCATAATTAATTGATACATGGGGAATGCAAAAGTGTTAATTTTCGAAATTAGTCCCTTAGATTACTGTCATTACCCCGGACGAATGCCTGCCACTGTGGTCTGTGCCTTCACAATTTTCCTCTTTCCAATTAAAAGCCACTAGGCATGATGGCTACTATTTAGCATAGTCTCGGCAATAAAACGTCAGAATTCAAGTCTGCAACAGGTGACTGTTGTCATAAAATTCTCCCTTCTGTTTGTAGTGATTACAAGAAAAATTCAAGGGACAAGTAGTACTTATTTTTCGATGGTTTGGCAGTCGATTTTGATGAAATTTTTATCCTTCAACATTTTATTACTTTACAGTAAATATTGTTGCATGATGTAACATACCTGAAATTCCATCGCATAGGCATTTAGCCGAACCATTATCATTTTCACATGTAGCAAAATCAGCACAGTTTGAATCTTGACAGTAGTCAATTTGTGCACACGACGGTCCGAAGTACCCTGAAACGCGAATCGAGAGGATGGAGGTACTTTCGCAAGGCAAAATGGGGCCATAAGGTAATGTACATGGGAAATATAAGTTGGCTGTTTTTTGCAACAGAGCTTGAAAATCGAAATCTAAATCACTAAGATGTTGCCGTGATTCGTGTTTTTTTCACGTTCTTTTATCCCTTTGTCCTTTTCTTCAACACACCGCCCCCTTTGTACTGCATGCCCTCAGCCGTGGTGGTACCTCAATTCACACAGGGTTAGCGCGTATGTTCATCCTGTGATAGCATTCACACTTCTGAGCAAATTGCACCCACGACAAACTGGCGTCGACTTGGTTGAGGTCT